CTAGGCATCATCATCCCCCCATTTCAGGACGTGGGCCTGCAAGGGGTTGACTTGGTTTCTTTTCCCCCGCCCATACGCCTTGGCGTGAACTTCCGCACCATGGTGGAAGTTCTGATGGATGGCGGTCATATCCACCCCCCAACGCGCAGCCTTCCAGTCCGGCAACTCGTTCCCAAGGGCCTTTCGGACCGCTCGTTCAGAGCACCCTAGGACTTTTTGAAAGGTATGCTGCACAAACGTATGGGCCTGATTGTCCTCCCAGTACCCAGGAAAAAGGCAAAAACACACCCCGGCTCCTTCCCCGAACTTTTCGTCGGTGAAGGTGACGTTGTACTTAGCTCGGGGCCCTAAGTGTTTTATCAAAATTGGGCGCCAACGCTTGAGAAACGCGTTGAGCGCCTCCTGCACTTTGGTGTGCAGGATCTTCCCGGGATCCTGGCAGGCGGTAAATGCAAATTATTAAGAATTCTAAGAGGGCACAGGTTTAACTTCAGCGTTTCTGTTTCCCCCGTCCTCCGCCAAGTCCGCCGGAGACTGGCGCCACTTGGTCTTGAAGTCACTGGGGTCCATCCACCAAGCAATGCGGCCGTCCGGGCCCTTTTGCTTGCGGATGTCCCAGTGCACCACCACCTTGTAGGGAACAAGATGTTAACATGTCCCTTTTTTGCATTTACCCGCTGGGGGATACGTTCTTTGTGACGATAAATGGAAGGAAATTGCATTTACCCGGGGAAGGATGTGTTCTGTGTGACGATAAATGAAAGGAAATTGCATTTACCCGATGGCCTGCCGGAAGTCCGACAAACGGCCGCAATGCCACAGCAGCAACAACGAGGCGAGGTGCGCTTGCTTCATCTTAGCAAGCAGCAGCCTCTCCCGCTGCGCCGCCGGGTCACTCCTTTTTCCCAAGGCGTTGACGACCGCCTCTTTGGCGGACATCTTCTCCTGGCCGTGGCTTAGAATTGGGCTGTTTCATGGAGGTTTTGCTAAATAAGAAAAGGAAACGTGTTAAAAGTAGCCCCCTCCTCGAAGACGTGCATCCTGGCTTGGATGGCCGCCAAGTCGTTCTTCGGAGGGGGGACGTACACAATGCCGTCCCCTTCCTCGTCCGACACGACCTCCAAGGATTTGGGAACCTTGGGCTTCTTCTTCAGCTCGGCCACCGCCTGACAGGGCGCTGTTTTCGAAGAGTGTTGGCACTTACTGTCTCTAATTTGCATTTACCCGCCTTGAGATGCAGTCTTGTCACTCCCGTCCACCAGGCCGCGACGTCGGCTGAGTCGTCGGGGCTACCGACGAAACAGCGACCGATAGCCCGCACAGCCCGTGTCAACGAGGAGATGTATTCGGGACTGTACGGCTTCGCGGTATTGGTCTTCTTCGTGAACTTTTCGTTGTCCACGTACCACTGGTACCAAGGCCTGATCGAAGGGTGTTTTGGCTCAATTTGCATTTACACTTTCCCTCTTGCAGCCTCGCCTCCTCCCCTCTTCCCCCTTTGCCTTCGCCCGACCGGCCGCCTTCCTCTCCCTCCGGACTCCATTTCCCCTTTTTCCACATTTTTTTTTTTTTTTTTAAGAGTATGATTTTGTTTTTAGAGTTTTTTTTTTTTTAGTATTTAGATTATTTTTTAGATTTTTTTTATAGAGTCCAGGTTTAGGCGCCATCGCCTCAGGTACCGGCAGTCCAAGTAGTCCCAGGTGTTCGTGAGCTGGACGCCGTTATTCACCTCCTGGTCGACAAACTCGACCAGCATGAGAAAACGGGCCCAGTAGGTCTCAGCGACCTTGTCCGACAAGCCTGGGTCGCGAAGGGGCACGTCATCGACGTATGCGCCCGACATGAACCAGGACTTGTCTGCCGACAAGTTCAGCCCATCTGACCTCGAAGGGAAATCACAGGCGAAACCCAAAATATTTGCACTTACCGGACCCCGGTGTTGTTTGCAAAAATTTGGATTTACCCGCCTGTATTTCCGGCTCGGCAGATTGCCGGAGTTCAAGACACGCCTGTCAAGAACATTCTCCTCCCCCTCAATGCCGTCTGACTTGATCTCGTGGCGGCGAGGGAGCCTTGGTGGAGTCTTTGCCTTCTTCACGGCAGGCTCCTCCTCCTTTTTCTCACGCTCGTCCGGGACTTTCTCTTCCTGCCGGCGAGCCTTTGCCTTCTTCACGGCAGGCTCCTTCCCCTTTTTCTGACGCTTGTCCGGAACTTTCTCTTCCTGCCGTGGGTGTTGATCCATGTCCCTAGTCACTACATGACCATGTCATGTAATGGAAAGAGAATTTTTCAAACACCCGCCAGCCTCGAGACAATACCGCACGCCATCTTCCTCCCGCCACGTTTCCTCCAGTGGTGCGGATGTGGAGATTGCCGCCACAGGCGCGTTGGCCATCTCCTCTCCAGCCACGGGCGCCGCGCCATCAAGCTCCCTCAACACCTCATAATGAAAGCCTTCGTAATCGGCTAAAATCGTGAGAGTGTGAGTCGGCCCCGGCCCGACCGCCGGACGGATGGTGTGATGCGCCAAGCGGTCTGGGTTTCGCTCGACAATGTACACATCCACAGCCACGGAGAACATATCACAGAAGGCCTGAATCTCCATTTCTCCTCCAGATGAGAAACGTTGGAAATGTAATGTTAGGGTAGGTAAATGCAATTTCAGCCCCAGTAACTGCAATTTCGAAGACAGTAAATGCAATTATGAAGACAGTAAATGCAATTTTGAAGACAGTAAATGCTAATACTACAACATTAGACATGGTTTTGCCGTTTGTCCTCGTACTTCACCAATTGGCTGATGAAAAACAGGTTGGTGTCCCTAGAGTGGTTTGGAAGCCGGCCAAAGGAATCGGACCTGAACCTCTTCCTCACCACCGGTTTGAAGTACTTGGTCATAAGTCAGATATGCAAAGTCTTAGTCGGTAAAATGGCAATTTCAACACACAATTTCAACACAGTAAATGCAAATTTCAAAGGGTAAATGTAAATAAGTTCCACAAAATGGGCCTCTCAAATCGAGTGGCGACTCCCGTTCCGCCATCTCGCGACAAATGTCCTGCCGGAGCCTCACGTGACCAGGAACGTTGAGCCCCGCGTCACGCCCGGCAATGAAGAGAGCGTGAAAGAGACAATTGCCATCCCTGGGGGTCTCGAACACTTCAAATCCGGCCGCCCTGGCAAGGAGAGTCTTCCTTTCGAAGGCTTAAGCTCAACAGGGTCTTCTTTCCCCGCTGATTACCCCAAGCCCGTTCCCTTGGCTGTGGTTTCGCTAGATAGTAGGTAGGGACAGTGGGAATCTCGTTAATCCATTCATGCGCGTCACTAATTAGATGACGAGGCATTTGGCTACCTTAAGAGAGTCATAGGTACTCCCGCCGTTTACCCGCGCTTGTTTGAATTTCATCACTTTGACATTCAGAGCACTGGGCAGAAATCACATTGCGCCAACACCTTCTGAGGCCATCGCAATGCTTTGTTTTAATTAAACAGTCGGATTCCCCTTGTCCGCTCCAGTTCTGAGATGGTTGTTCGCTGCGCAGGGAACGCCCCGGAGGACATTCCAAGTCCGGCAGTCCTCGCCATGCAAGATTCCACTCTCCACCAGAGGCGTCAAGTAGCTTCTGCTCAGCTCAAACATCAAGACAAGGACCCCTGCGCCCAACCCTCAGAGCCAATCCTTTTCCCGAAGTTACGGATCTGTCTTGCCGACTTCCCTTACCTACTTTTAGGCAGGTTGAAAAATTTACATTTACCTCCCCCCTATTTTACTATCAACTAACATCTCTAATTATTTGCATTTACCCCCCCCCCCCTTAAAAAAAAAGGCGCGCGCTTTTCGCGGGTAAATGCAATTTCAGGGTAAAATGCAGATGTTCAATGCTAGCCACTTCATGGATGGGTAAATGCAAATCAGGAGGTAATGGTAGAAAAACCTGAGAACAGGTATTTGCAAACAAGCCGGTGCCACCAAAAATCTTGAAAAAAAAGGAACCTTTTACAGGGGACGCCTGTAAAAGGAAAACCCTTCAGAACAAAAAACGCCTTTCAGATTGCAGCTCTTCCATGCCAAACCCAGGAGGTCAGCTGCTTGGCTCGTTACCCTATTTGTATCCCGCGGAGTTCCCCAAGAGGCCTATACGCGGCTGAGCTTGGAAGCTTCTTTTTTTCAATGATTTTTGTTTTTGCCAGGTGGCTTTTTTTGGCTTTTTTCTTTTTTGCTGGCCTGCTGGCTTTTCTGCTGTGCTTAAACGTGGCGCTGGCAAGAGCCTGCTGCCGGTTGAAAGAAAGGATTTCCTTGAAAGTTGGCGCTGGCTTGAAGCCTGCAGCCGTAATGGTACATTTCAAATGGGGGTGATGCCGTATCTGACACAAAGGGGTAAATGCAAATAGATCTTTAACGATAATGGTCAGTGCATTTCAAGCCGGGTAAATGCAAATTATGGTGAACGGTCTGCACTTGAAGATCAGTAAATGCAATTTTCGTTTTGTGTTAGGCAGACTAGGCATCATCATCCCCCCATTTCAGGACGTGGGCCTGCAAGGGGTTGACTTGGTTTCTTTTCCCCCGCCCATACGCCTTGGCGTGAACTTCCGCACTATGGTGGAAGTTCTGATGGATGGCGGTCATATCCACCCCCCAACGCGCAGCCTTCCAGTCCGGCAACTCGTTCCCAAGGGCCTTTCGGACCGCTCGTTCAGAGCACCCTAGGACTTTTTGAAAGGTATGCTGCACAAACGTATGGGCCTGATTGTCCTCCCAGTACCCAGGAAAAAGGCAAAAACACACCCCGGCTCCTTCCCCGAACTTTTCGTCGGTGAAGGTGACGGTGTACTTAGCTCGGGGCCCTAAGTGTTTTATCAAAATTGGGCGCCAACGCTTGAGAAACGCGTTGAGCGCCTCCTGCACTTTGGTGTGCAGGATCTTCCCGGGATCCTGGCAGGCGGTAAATGCAAATTATTAAGAATTCTAAGAGGGCACAGGTTTAACTTCAGCGTTTCTGTTTCCCCCGTCCTCCGCCAAGTCCGCCGGAGACTGGCGCCACTTGGTCTTGAAGTCACTGGGGTCCATCCACCAAGCAATGCGGCCGTCCGGGCCCTTTTGCTTGCGGATGTCCCAGTGCACCACCACCTTGTAGGGAACAAGATGTTAACATGTCCCTTTTTTGCATTTACCCGCTGGGGGATACGTTCTTTGTGACGATAAATGGAAGGAAATTGCATTTACCCGGGGAAGGATGTGTTCTGTGTGACGATAAATGAAAGGAAATTGCATTTACCCGATGGCCTGCCGGAAGTCCGACAAACGGCCGCAATGCCACAGCAGCAACAACGAGGCGAGGTGCGCTTGCTTCATCTTAGCAAGCAGCAGCCTCTCCCGCTGCGCCGCCGGGTCACTCCTTTTTCCCAAGGCGTTGACGACCGCCTCTTTGGCGGACATCTTCTCCTGGCCGTGGCTTAGAAGTGGGCTGTTTCATGGAGGTTTTGCTAAATAAGAAAAGGAAACGTGTTAATAGTTGCCCCTCTCGAGGACGTGAATCCTTGGTTGGATGGCCGCCAAGCGTTTTCAGGAGGGGGGACGTACACATTTTGACCTTTTGGTTCCACCTTCCGGGAACCATCTTTTGTGGCCCGAAAAGGAATCACGGGGGCCTCTGCTGCGTGTGTTTTGTTGATCGCTTTGGCTTTCAATCCTTCACTCCATGGTGTTGAACCACAAGAGTGTTGGCACTTACTGTCTCTAATTTGCATTTACCCGCCTTGAGATGCAGTCTTGTCACTCCCGTCCACCAGGCCGCGACGTCGGCTGAGTCGTCGGGGCTACCGACGAAACAGCGACCGATAGCCCGCACAGCCCGTGTCAACGAGGAGATGTATTCGGGACTGTACGGCTTCGCGGTATTGGTCTTCTTCGTGAACTTTTCGTTGTCCACGTACCA